CTACCTGAGCCTGCTGGGAAACACAGCCTGTCCACACGAGCTGTCTGTGGTACACAGGGTGGAGATGTGGACTACCATATATACAGGTGAGCTACTCACTAGTACACTCACTAGTACACTCACTCACTAGTACACTCACTAGTACACTCACTAGTACACTCACTAGTACACTCACTCACTACCTGAGCCTGCTGGGCAACACAGCCTGTCCACACGAGCTGTCTGGTGGTACACAGGGTGGAGATGTGGACTACCACGTGTACAGGTGAGCTAGTAGTACACTCACTCACTCACTAGTACACTCACTCACTAGTACACTCACTCACTCACTAGTACACTCACTCACTAGTACACTCACTCACTCACTAGTACACTCACTAGTACACTCACTAGTACACTCACTAGTACACTCACTCACTACCTGAGCCTGCTGGGAAACACAGCCTGTCCACACGAGCTGTCTGGTGGTACACAGGGTGGAGATGTGGACTACCACGTGTACAGGTGAGCTAGTAGTACACTCACTCACTCACTAGTACACTCACTCACTAGTACACTCACTCACTCACTAGTACACTCACTCACTAGTACACTCACTCACTCACTAGTACACTCACTAGTACACTCACTCACTAGTACACTCACTCACTCACTAGTACACTCACTAGTACACTCACTCACTACCTGAGCCTGCTGGGAAACACAGCCTGTCCACACGAGCTGTCTGGTGGTACACAGGGTGGAGACACAGACTACCATATATACAGGTGAGCTACTCACTAGTACACTCACTAGTACACTCACTCACTAGTACACTCACTAGTACACTCACTAGTACACTCACTAGTACACTCACTAGTACACTCACTACCTCAGCCTGCTGGGAAACACAGCCTGTCCACACGAGCTGTCACGTGGTACACAGGGTGGAGACACAGACTACCATATATACAGGTGAGCTACTCACTAGTACACTCACTAGTACACTCACTCACTAGTACACTCACTAGTACACTCACTAGTACACTCACTAGTACACTCACTACCTCAGCCTGCTGGGAAACACAGCCTGTCCACACGAGCTGTCTGGTGGGACACAGGGTGGAGACACAGACTACCATATATACAGGTGAGCTACTCACTAGTACACTCACTAGTACACTCACTACCTGAGCCTGCTGGGCAACACAGCCTGTCCACACGAGCTGTCTGGTGGGGAGTGGGGAGACACTGACTATCACATATACAGGTGAGCTACTCACTAGTACACTCACTAGTACACTCACTAGTACACTCACTCACTAGTACACTCACTCACTCACTAGTACACTCACTCACTAGTACACTCACTCACTCACTAGTACACTCACTCACTCACTAGTACACTCACTACCTGAGCCTGCTGGGCAACACAGCCTGTCCACACGAGCTGTCTGGTGGGGAGTGGGGAGACACTGACTATCACATATACAGGTGAGCTACTCACTAGTACACTCACTAGTACACTCACTAGTACACTCACTCACTAGTACACTCACTCACTCACTAGTACACTCACTAGTACACTCACTCACTACCTGAGCCTGCTGGGAAACACAGCCTGTCCACACGAGCTGTCTGGTGGGACACAGGGTGGAGACACAGACTACCATATATACAGGTGAGCTACTCACTAGTACACTCACTAGTACACTCACTACCTGAGCCTGCTGGGCAACACAGCCTGTCCACACGAGCTGTCTGGTGGGGAGTGGGGAGACACTGACTATCACATATACAGGTGAGCTACTCACTA